TAGAGGGGTGGACTCTCAGATAGTGAGATCTCCGATGCAGACGATGTGTACACAGCATTTGTACAGCGTGTGCGTAAATACTCACTGCCATTCCATTTTGGTCATCACTCTGATGCATTTTATCGTCCGGAATGATCTTGATTTATTAGTGAGTATTAGTGTGCATAAGTTTGGTCTCAATGCGTTGTTTATCGACGAGAAGGACTTTACAAAATGTAAATCACGCAATTCCCCTAATGCTCTAAAGTCCAACTTCTTAACGAAAAGTTCTCATACATTTAAAAACGAGTGTAATTTTTGGCATCGCAAATGTCTCCAAAAATTTTTACCTTCAAAAGACAAAAAAAAATACGTCTACCTACCCACACTTCCACCTCACTTTAATTTTCAGGTACCTATTCAATTTTTCTGCATAGTCATGTGTATTCAAGCTAATGTCTAGAGGTGATAGTTTGGCTGGAGAAATATGGGTGAATGCGAGGTCGAAGTGGTGCCGCCCTTCATTCTATTCCATATTCCAGTCTAGGCTTTCGCATTGATAATGGAAAACCAGAGGTCACGGCCAGGATGCAAAAAAAACAACCACACAGAGGTCATGCTTGATGAATCTGCGCCCATTCCACCGACAATTATGAGAGCATTACCCAATCAAATGCCTAATACCACGTACGGCGGCAGCGACTTCTGCATCTCTTTCATCTCTACCAGTTACAATGGTTGTCTGCACCACCGCCGTATTGCAAGTCACCGCCTCCTTCAAATTAATGCACTTGTTCCACTTATAGCCAATGGAGAGGCCTCACATCTTTTGCTAATTAGATGTGTGCTTCGATCCACCCACCATTGCTAACTCCCAAACAGCACCTTTGCCTGACCTCATGTCACGCATCGCCTTCTTCACTGGAGCTAGTGTCCAGTGGAAGAGATACCAGTTGGGGCCCTTCAACAGAGCTTTTCCCTCCATTTGTTCGAGCGCTTGAACTGTTTGGTCAGCGAAATCAATTCACCAGCACTAAAAACAGGGAAGTTGAGAGGAGAATAGACTGCTATGATCAGTACAGTAATGGCAGCCGCAATTTTACCATGTAAATGCAAGCTAT